TCCTCACTCTGGCTTCATTCGATCCTCGTCGAGGAACTTCCGAGATCGCAGATCTTCCCTCTCCCGCTCAGGCGAGAGGAGATAGCGCGATTCTCCCTCTCGGGAAGCCAACGATCAGTCATTGGATTCGCGCGGAAAGCGGAAGGTCGCCGATTTTTCTCCTTCGAACCGTGCAAAAAAAGTCCTCGAGCATTTGGCACGACCACGAGTAAGCATACGAAACGGGGCAGAAAATCGGCTCCTCCAGCTCATCATCGGCATTACGTTCTGAAATAATGCCACCTACTGCAGTTTAGTCTGAAATTGAGCTGCGTTTCCTTCGCCTTTCCTTCTTCCGATCGAAACGTTTCCACACGAAACACCAGGGGCCTTTTTCACGAAACTTCTTTAACTTTTCTTTAACTTTATTTCGGCTATATTTCGTCTTTAACTTTTCTTTATCTTTATTTCATCTTTAACTTTTCTTTAACTTTACTTTAACTTTATTTCGGCTATATTTCGACTTTATCTAGACTCAAAATATAGAAAAGATAAAGACACCTTTGGAGGTCTCTCAATCTCGACTTTAACCTCTCTGAGGGCTACGGAAACCCTGGCCACCTGTGCATATTCTTGATAACATGCCCCAAGCGACGCATGTGCATTCCTCCTGCCACTTGTGGCTTACCCCTCTCCGTGTAAGGTGGGGGAAGGGGGGGGGGGGGGGGGGGGGGGAAGGGGGCCGAGGGTCGAGCCAGTCCAACCTTTTTCTGCCCTCCTGTCGCGGAGTCCTTGTAGTTTGCGTTCCGCTCCACGCGATGAGGCACGAGTGAAACACAAGCCGAAGCACGAATGAAACGTGAACCATTCCGTGCCTGGTTACGCACCTGTTTCGGGATCTCTGGCGTGGAAGTACGATTTCGAGTGGTATGTGATGAATGAATTCATTCTTTTTGAAGTGGATCTGTCGATCCATCCAGTTAAAATCTCGAAAGGCAATCTTGCATATATTGCTAGCCCCCCCTAGGAAAAAAGGGTCATTTGACCAAATATAGGTCTTTCAAATCGATTCATTGGTCTATTTAACAAAAAAAAAAACGGGTCCATTAAAGGCCGCTCGACCAACGTTGCAAACAATGTTTTTTTAATGGCTTACTGTTGAGCGAAGGAAACTGCATTGCACATTTTAAAGCGGGACTCGCCCGTCTCCCGTGCTCGGGCCAGCTCACGGTCTTCACCGTCCTCCTGTCGAGCGAGGCGGCCGCGAGCCAGGACCTCTGCCCTTCGCAGTCGAGCGACCTCCTTCCGTGGACCAGCGGTTGAGCCTTTCGGGCGGTGAGTTCCCTTCACCCGCTTGGATCCGAGGAGTGTTTCGGTCCATCCGCCGTTTCCAATGCGATCCCGGCGACATGGGACTAATTGCCACCAATGTGAATGGGGAGAGGGGGATGGGGGGGGGGATCAAGAGGCAGACCTGTTCGAGTACCCGTTCATTAAAAACTGAGCCTTGAAAGCCTAAGAATAGCTTACGGAATTCATATACATGAGAGGTTAATCGGTCAGTGTGTCTTCCACATACTCGAGAGGCTCGTCAGTGTGCCAGTGTGTCCTTCCGGGAATCTCCTCCTTCGCGAATTTTAATAAGTGAAGCCGGAGGCGATATTCGGTCGTTCTTGCCAAGCCTTTTTTTTTCTATCTGTTCGTTGGAGGCCTGCGCGGGTCGACTTTTCCGAGTCGGTGCACGATCGCCGACCGAGCCTTGATGATCCGGCCGGCCGGCGGCCCGCTGAGGTCTCTAAGCCTGGGAACTCCTGGACTGCGAAGAAGCAAACAGCTCTCGTCCATAAGCAATAATTTTACATTTCCTGGGTTGAATTTTCTTTCAACCCGGTCTCCCGCTTTTTTCCCACCGCAGAGACAAATCATTTTCTTGAAAAGTCCCAGTTTTTTCCTAAAAAAAAAAAAATCCGGTCTCCCAATCCTCAAGAGGCTAACGTACTTCCCGCATGCCGATCGAAAGCCGGGTCTGTTTAGACATTCGATCGGGATCGACGAGAACAATCCGCCTTTCCTCATCTGATTCCTGGAAATTCCAAATTTTTCCTTCAGTGCGGCGCATTCGAATGCTAAACGACCGTCGATCGAAAGCTCACGCCAAGGAAGCGATACTACTTGGGTCAAAAGTCTTAAAAGTCCGAAGGCGTAAGGGCCTTGTTGCGGCGATGCATCGAATTTCCATTCCCGACAACGGCATTGCCGGTTACGGACGTTCCTGCTAGATGAATTGCCGGCAATTATCTTAATTTATCTTGATTTTTTCATGTTACCGGTCCTGTCGCTGGTTTGCGCTTCGCCCAAGTCTGCATTCGGTCAGTGCTCCATATCATTATTTGCATTTTGGTGCAGCAAAAGGGCCTCGAAGAAGGTGGGGAAAAAATGAAATTCCGTTTCGCCGGATCCCAATTTTAAGTCTTTTGCGCGATGAAATTCGCGAGGAGATGAAATTCGCATTAATGGCTTCCATTCGACTTATTTCGCCCCGGACGTACATGCGCTTTTCCACCGGTATAAAATATAATAATTCCCAGAATAATCGTGCCATTCTCGTGTGACCCCATCTCAAAGTGAGAAGAAAATCAAGTCTAATGATTAAGATGGCAAAATATGTCAAAAGATGCCAAAAGATGCTGAAATATGTCAAAAGATGCCAACATATGTTAAATAACTAATAATTAATAATAAATCAAAATCTCATATCATTTTTTAAATCAATATCTTGAAATCGGTATTTACAATATAATTGTTTTGGCACTTTCGTCCTCCTATCTCCTCTCTGAGATTGGCTCGGCGAGTCGAGCAAGCAGCCGCGAAACGGGTGCAATTAGATGATTCCCTCCTGGGAGTCCCGCAGCATATTTCCAACCTGCGATTAAAGCATGAAGCAGATGGAAAAAAAAAAACGGCGAGAGCCATCTCGCAGTGCTGCAGTCGCATTTCCAAACGGCGCGCCAATCTTCCCAACGACATGAAAAATGAGAAATGAGATCGAGACCGCCGCAGCCTGCTTTTCTGCTGACATTTCGACTTCAATCAGCCCTTGATCGTTTCCTTGAATTCACCCCAGCCTTTTTGGCAATTGGCAATTCGGGAATTGGCTTTGCCGTTTCTGGTTCTTCTTCCTTCATCCGTCCTCCGATGAACTCCCTCAGGTTCGATTCCATGAAAGTTTTCATCACTGGCCTATTTTTTTTATGACTTCCTCTCTCCTTCATTTTCCAGCAAAGAATTTCAACGCAAACCGGGCAGTAAAGAGCATTGAGTACTTTCGATCCCTTAGTCTCAATCCCTCGCAGCAGGCGAAATTGCACTTTACTGAACACGTTAAGGAATTGTTGACTCGACGTTAATGACTCATCATTAGCCAATCATTAGCGTTATTAGCGAACTGTGTTAGCCCCATGAACTCCTACTTACCGACCCGCAATGTCAAGGTCAGGAAAAAACCGATCCGGGGGAGGTGTCTATCGATGACGTCACTCTGCAAGTCGCAAGTATTCCTTGAATGGCGGGAATTCGGATTCACCGCTTGCATAGCAGACAGCCTCCTTTTTTTCATCTGGGAATGAGGCAAGGCGACGCCGGAGCCAGATATTTTTTTTTTAACAGCCACTCCGTAGATCCCTTGTCGTTCCTGGGAGGTGTCGCGATTAATTTCATTTCCGTTATTTTTATATTGTCTTAAAGAAACCTTGAAAGATTGCGCGTCTCCAGTCCATGTAATTTCCAAATGTAGCTTATTTGTTTTAAGCAGAGCTTCGCTCAATTGACATAAATGATTTAGAAAAAGCTTCACGATTAACATTTAGTTATATGTTAACTCATCATTACTTATTCTTCATTATTACGTAAGCATGAGTAGGGAAGTGTAGCACTTCAATTTCATTGGTGGACTTGGGGATAAGCCTGGTGCAATTGCAGGACGCGAACCACCCGGGCCACTTCAAGTGCATCTACGTCCTTAACACTAAGGCCAATACTTTTTCTCCATTTTTTTTTATTTTTGCACTGAAATCTATCGATTTCGCGCCGTGCCGCCGTTCCTCGCGGTGATCCTGGTGAAGCCGGTCCTGCGGACAGGATTATCTGCCTGGACAGGACGCTGGACAGGATCATCTGCCTGGAGCCGAAGGAGCAATCCGAGCCCCTGCTGACTCGGGTCACTCCGAAGGAGGCACTGCCCAAGCACATCAGGGCGGGACGAGGGCGGGGAAGTTTTCGGCCGTGGTACGTGCTCTGTCGGCATTGAAGTCTGAGGGACGAAATAATTTCGCCAATTTTATTCGTCCCCGGAACTGGTTTCCGTTTTCGTCGTTTGGTCATTTTGGCTCAAACTGTTACAAAAGTACAAGAATTTAATCTTGTCATATAAATTATTTAGAGGAAAAGTAGCAGCAAATCAAATAAAACAAAATATGCGCTACAAAAATTATTATTGTTATTGATATTAGCATGTTTTCCTGCGCAGATCGGGAAAGGAGAAAAAGTTGAGAGTGAGGAGGGAGAGTGAGACAGTGGAGAAGGTGCTCATAAACACTTCAGTTTTTGGCCGCTTTAAGCTCCTCGGGCGAGGTGTAGTGAGGGGGGGAGGGTGAGGGGGGGGAAGGGGAAAGAGTTGGGAGGGGGGGAGGGAGGGTCGTGCCAGTGCAACCCTTCTTCACACAATCGCCGCAGAGAAGAGATACACCATTCTTTCCGTTCTCTCCGCGTGAGGAAGCACGAGTGAACAGGTGAGACCGCGAGTGAGGGTTCCATTTCGTTTGTTGTGTGTGTTGAATGGTATCACTCCCTCTACTGTGAATCTGTCTATCCATTCGAAAGACTCGACTGATCGATCGATGAACCGATCTATCAGAAGTTCAATCAGCCAAAATTATTTGATTTGATGACTTACTGTCGAGCGAAGAAAACGGAATCGTGAATCACAAGGGATAGGAGAGCGTGGTGGACTTTCTTCGAGGAAGATGAGGAACGAGACACGAACCCCTCTCGTCCGGCGCGCGTCCCGGGGCCTGCTCACGGTCTTCGCCGTCCTCCTGTCGAGCGAGGCGGCCGCGAGCCAGAACCTCTGCCCTTCGCAGTCGAGAGGCAGGCCTCCTTCCGCGGACGCGCGGGTCGCCTTTCGAGCGGTGAGTCGCCTCCATTCGCAGTTCGGAATAGCTTTCGAAGGCATTTCCTCAATTTTCTTATTTCCCTTCGTATCTGTCTCGTCAGTTTTTTAATCTTGAAACGGCTGTACTGTTCATCCGCCGTTTCGAATACGATCCCGTCGAACCGTCTGTACCCAGTCATAAAAAAAAACGTTTGCCGCGAAAGGAATGTCCGGAGTTCTGCTTTTAGCAAAGATTTGCTTCTGGAGTCCATATACGTCGGAGGTTAATCGGTCAGCGAGTCATTCATATGCATAAGAGGAACATCCGTGAGTGTGCCAGTGTGCCATCCACACACTGACAAGAGGCTCATCCGTCAGTGTGTCAGTGTCAGGCTGGAGGCGATGCCTGCCGGGTCCAAAATGAAAAAAGGACGCGGTCGCCAAGCCCCTGCCTGCCCATCTGCGCGGTGGAGGCCTGCGCGGGTCGGCTTTTCCGAGTCTGCGCTCGAGCGCCGAATGAGCCGTGGCATCCAGGGGGAAAAAAAAAAACTTTTTTCTTCGGTTGTGTGAATTCCGCGTCCTCATCCATAAGCAATGCTCAATTAGAATTTTCTTGAAATTTTCTGAAAAAAAAAATTGCCTATCCCATCCTAGGGATAAAAATTTGGACAACTCGATTCGAGGCACATCGTTGGGATCTGCATCCCGGCGAACTCAAAATGTTTAATTGAATTGGAATTGGAAGAATTGTTGCGCGAGCGGGATTGGGATCGACGGGATCGATCCCAATTCCCCGTCGGATTCCTGGGAGTTCCGAATTTCTTCCGGCGCGCCTCATTTGAATGGGAAGAGAAGTTCGAAATTCGCCGGATCCCAGTTTTATGGACGATTAAATTTACGAAGCTTTAAAGGCTTTCAGTCATCAGACCTATTTCGAAACGAGCGTGCATGGGCGTTTTCCACAAGTATAAAAAATAATTATAAAAATCATTTTGCTATTCTCGCTTGACCCCCGTCTCAAAATAAGTGGAATGTCAAGTTTAATTACTAAGATGCCAAAAGATGCCAATAGATGCCAAATAACTACGGCTGACTTCCTAAATGAGATCGTCAGAGACGATCTTTCCCTGGTGAAACCTTCCAGATTCACCAGCTATGGTTTTCTCAGAAAACTCTTCAACCTCTCACGTTCCCCCCCCCCCCCCTTCCCAATCTAACGATCGAACTGACCATTGACACGCATTGTGTGCGCAGTTCCGAGAGAGTCTGCGAAACGTCACCATTCCGGCCGGGATCCGCCACAACGTCTTCCTCTTCCGATTCCTCGAAGGTACGTGCCCCGCCCACCCTCCACCCACCCGGCTATATCAATCCCGTGCACGAACCTCCGCCGCTGTGGAGGGCTCCGCTGGGCGTTTAAATCACCCGACCGGGGATTTAAATGCCCAGCGGCGATTTAAATGATTTAAATGCCCAATCGACTTAAATCCCCCTCCTCTCCCGATGGAGATGCAACCTTCCCCACGCCTAGCTCGTCGCGCCTTTCCTTTTCTTCCGCCTCATCTTCCTGGATGAGAGAGAATCGGGGCCTGCACGTTCATCCGCCTTAATCCCCGATTCAATTCCCTGGATGGAGAGCGAAAGCCATGAACCTCTCGAATGAACGCGGGAAGAGCTGCTTCATTGGGCAGTCGTGTCGCTGCAATTGGGTTTCTTAGACCGATACTAAAAAATTGAAATTAAACTTAAAAAAAAAGAATACATAAATAAATAATAAATAAATAAATAAATAATTAATTAATTCATTTTAACATCAATCTCTTGAAATCGAAAATAAATTCTTATTGCCATTTTTGTCCTCCCATTCCTCACTGGGAGAGGATTGACTTAGCGATTAGAAGAAGTAGCGAAAAATGGGTCCAATGTTATGATTCCACTCCAGGGAGCGCCAAATGATATTTGAGTTTATTTTCTTCCTTTTCACCGATTTGCAACGCATTTTTCGCTTCTTCTAACCCTTGACCGTTTGCTTGAATTCAGCCCATCTTCTTGGCAATTGGTTTTGCCTTTTCTGGTTCCTCTTCCCTCTCCTGTCCCCTGACGAACCCCCATAGGTTCTAAACAGATTCTCACCCCGAGAGATTTCACGTGACTTCCTCTGTCGTCTGTTTTCCAGCGAAGAATTTCGACGTGGACCGGGCAGTAAAGATGTTTCGAGCAGTGAGTCCCTTCGTCCCCATTAGTCTCAATTCCTCGTAGCAGGCGAAAATGAACGTTACTGGACGCATTAATCACTAATCGACTTAACGTTATTTACTCATGGTCTCCTCCCATTATTAAGTTGATCGCAAAGTCAAGGAAATTCCTGTTTGAAAGATTTCTAAGGCATAGCATTATGGGCCGACTATGCCAGTCCCCTACATAACCTCAACAACCGTCCCGCAACGTCAAGGCCCGAAAAAAAAAACCGATACCGGAATGGTGTCTATCGGTGACGTCACTCGGCGTACTTCCGCAGCACCTGGAATGGCGGGAGAAATGGAGGCCTGAGTACCTGCGGGACGAGTGGAAGCTCCCGGAAGTGCTGGAGAAGTACGGAGTGGTCGGGTTCATCGGCTACGACGTGGAGGGATCCCCCGGTACGACTTCCCCGCCTTCATCCTTTTCTTTTGGCTCATTCGCGGGGAATCGGTGAAACAAGTAAAAAAAAAAAGATGCCAATTACGATGCCCCACCGAGTCCGCGAGAGAAAGAACGCTGCCCGAAGGGACAGGCTGGTCGTTCCGTACGAAGTCAACCATTATTACCATAAAATGGTACCATAAACCATAACCATAGTACCATAAACGCGATTGTCGAATTTGTATTAGTATCGACGGCAGTATTGATATTAAATTTCTGGAAACGGCTAACCTTTCTTCGCCGCGACGAAGCTTCGACACCGCGTCCGCGCCGCGGAGAAAAATTCTCAGTCGCGTTTCGGAGCGACCGCCCCATCGCGATTCCTCCCTCCTTCCCGCGGCAAACGAAAGATGGCACTGCTATCGTTACTCCAGTGATGCTGGCGGACGAAGGAGCGATGGACACGAAGGGGATCCTCGCTTCCATCGAAAAGGACGACTACCTCCGCTGGTTCATCAAGGAACTCGAATCGAACCGGCAGAAGCTGCGCATCCTGCAGGACGACTGGAAGAACGGCGACAGGAAGGACGACGACTGGGATGACGCCGACAGGAAGGACGGCGGCAGGAAGGACGGCGCCTGGGAGGACCCCAAGTCCCAGCTCGCCATCATCTTCGAGTTCAAGGGCGTCCCAGCCTCCTACCTCCTCTCCAGCCGCGGTTCGTCTCGCTCGCGACTCCTTTATCCTTTCGACGTCGACGCACCCGGGAGTCGAAAGGGATTCCAAAGTCGCTTTGTATCTTCCGCGGCTCATAACTTGATGTCCTTTCGCCATTCGTCGCAGTGTAACGAAAATGGATTAAAACGAACGTACGAACTTCAAGTTTTATTACCTGCCATCACCATAATTCAACGTGACGTGGAAACAACCTCACCAGTCCAGAGCAAAAAATCCTAAAAGTCTGCAGAAAACCACGTCGCTGAAATTTCACTTGCAATTTTTTAGGTGAATTTATTTTGTTGAATATTTTTTTGCACCGGACTTTTTCTTACGGGGTATTATCATAGTTCCTCCAGTTGATACGATTTCCGAATTGAATTAGATTACATTATCATCTGCGGTGGCGCTTCGCTCACTTGACTTATATGATTCCGAGAAAGAGTTCAAAGATGAAAAGTTATCCGAACTCATCATCACTTATTTAGGATTATCACGTGAATACGAATATGAAAATCTAGTAATTACATTTTAGTAATTACATTTAAATAGTCATTAATTTTCAGTGTTGGACGTGATGTTGAGACTGGTGCAGATGCACGATGGGAACTACCCGGGCCTCTTCAAACGCATCTATGTCCTGAACAGTAAGGCTGCAAAAAAAAAAAATTTGCAAAAATTTTTTTCTTGCATTGAAAATTGGCGATTTCGGGCAGTGCCGCCGTTCTTCGCGGCGATCCTGGGCATGGTTAAGCCGATCCTGCGGCAGGGGACGCTGGACAAGGTCGTCTGTCTGGGGGCGAGGGAGCAGTACGCGCCCGTGCTGACCCGGGTCATACCGAAGGAGGTACTGCCCAAGTACTGGGGAGGGACGCGGGTGGACGAGAACGGGGACCCGAAGTGTTCGGCTGTGGTACGTTCTCTCTTTCTCTATTGAAGGGTAATGGCCAAAAACAATTTTCAAAATATTTTCATAATTATGATTTTCTGCCTCAAAATGTTTCCAGTTTTGAAGATCAAATCATTTTGGCTCAAACTGACTCAAAATATAGAGCTGAATCAAGTCAAAAAAAAATTTTAAGGAAAACCAGCAGCAAATCAATGCAAAAAAAAATATGCACCTTAAAAAATTCCTTGAAATGAGCACGCTTCCTGCACAGATCGGGAAAGGCGGAAAAGTGCCCAGGTCCTACTATCGGTATCCTCAAACGATGGCAGACGAGGAGGATGAGGAGAGTGAGAATGAGAAGGATGAGGAGAGTGAGAAGAAGGAGAAGGATGAGGAGAGTGAGAAGAAGGAGAAGGATGAAGAGAGTGAGAAGGAGAAGAATGAGGAGAGTGAGAAGAAGGAGAAGGATGAGGAGAGAGAGGAGAATGAGAAGGATGAAGAGAGTGAGAAGGAGAAGAATGAGGAGAGTGAGGCGGAAGAGTGAGGCGGGAGAGTGAGGCGGGAGAGTGAAGAGGGAGAGTGAGGAGGCTCCCCTTTGTGCAGTAGCAAAATGTTAACGTGCGGCCGCCAATAAACATTGTTCACAGAGTTGGAAAAATTCCCAAGGGGAATCTGCAGTCTTCTCATCCGGCCGCCTTGGCCGAACGACACGCTCCGCAACGGAACCTGCCCTCGGCGTCGTCCCTGGAAACTCGATTCGGCGGTCTCCGGGAACTCCGCCCCCCACTAGGCGTTCCGATTCGTTCACGAGCGATAAGCCGAAGGATCCCCTTCCAAGGAGCTTCATCGCTCAATGGAGTGGGTTGTTTTTTTTGTTTTTTTTTTCTTCTTGCGATGGGCTGATGAAAGACGTACGCTGACGAGTTTGGAATTGAATGATGGATGTTTCTAATTATCCATACCTCGTATTTATGTATTGAATATATCTTCTCTTTTCTTTTTATTCAATAACTCCCACTCGCCAACTCCTGACGTCAGCTCCGTTATCCATTGTGGCTCCTGCCCTCTTCTGGGCATCGGCTTCCTTGCTTACACGATTTCCTCAATTTTGATCATCGTCCAATCGCCTGAAAGTATCTCTCACCGAGGGTCCAACATTTTGCCAAACTGGGTCATACACAAAGTTATTCCCTTCGAAGCATGCATGTTGCGTCTTTGATTTCGTCCATGAGCTACTAAGAAGGTTCAGGTTCAGCCTCGTGCTTTCGTTGCACACCTCGTTTAAACCTTGCAAATGCCCCCATCGTTACTCAATTCGATGAACGAAAGTCCACCTGATGAATCGAATTTCATCATCGAGGTCTACACCAGTGGTCGGCAATTGAATTTCACGCGAAGCCAGATGGCAGAATGCTGCACTCTCTTGCACCTCTTGGACTGGCACACTCTTGGACTGGCACACTCTTGGACTGGCACACTCGCGTGCCAGTCCAAGAGAGCAAACGGACCCGAGAAAATCCTCCTCCCTCGAGCTTGTCGACCTTCTCAGTGTCGGCGCACAGACACGAGACAACCGCGGGAAACGAAACACCCAAATATTTGGGTAATCCCAGTCTCAGAAACGGCTAACACCTCACATCGTTTCACAGAATTGGAGGAAGACAGGGAATAACATTGGAAACAGAACCATCTCGAATCGCAAATCACCGTTTTTAACTGCAAGTTCCAGTCACCCACACACTTTTGCCATCTACCAATGCGACTGCAATACGGGAAAACAAGAGAACCTTTCGAGAGATCTCCTGCTCGCCGGCTTCCTTTCTTCGTGAAATCTTTCGAAGGACTAAAGGTGACGCGAGTGGAGACGAAATAGCACGCCATTCTGAAATTCTGCAATTCTACATTTTGAAGGATTTTCTCTCGCGAACTGACGAATCGCCCAGTATCTAATCCTGGAAGGTCTCGATACCCGGCAGCTGGTGGACCCTCGTTCATCCTAGAGATGGCGACACGAGAGCCAATCTGCGATTTTCCCGTGAATATTGCCTCTCCTCCTCTTCGTGCGGCCGATTTGCAAATATTGTTTCTCAAAGGAACAGCCTCGGATGATAAGGAATATTTCCGTTCAAACTGGAGGTCAGGATCGCGCCCGTCAAATGCCTCGCCTCCGAACCTGCGATTTGAATCACGGTACATTTCAAGCACCTACCGAATCTCGACAACCCTAGATCCGCCCACCCGCGCGTTCCTGTTTCAGCTCTTCCACCCGGAATCGCCGAAACCGAACACGCGCAGCCTGCAATGCACGTCGTCCCGCCCAGCTCGCGAGTCGAGCGGGCGGAAGCACCAAGCAGGCACACGGAGGGGGGGGGGGGGGGGGGGGGGGGGCCCCGGGACAAGCGAGCGAGCGAAGCGCGGCGGACGAGGGAAGCAGACGGGAGGAGGCCTCTCCACGGCGGGCTCGACGGCCTCCAGGCGACGAAGACCCTGCCGGTCGTGGCATGGAAGAGGGCACAGAGGAGAATCTCCACCTCTCGACCCATCAGCGTATTTTTTAAATTATTCCTCTGGGAATGTTCCCACAGAAAAAGAATAGGATTGCATCGAGCTAGAAGATTCTTTAAGAAGTCCCACAATAATTTTTAACGATCTACATGCAAGACCGATTCCTTCTCGAAAATCTGTTGCAACCTGCAGGGCTCGGACCTCATAGGAATAGGACTCTATTGGAACTTCTATTGGTCGAAAATCCTCAGAGGAGACCAATAGGACGCGTTCGGTCCCGCGCATTCCTGCAGAGCGCGGGAGCGGCAACAGCCGCCGGAACGACCTTCCCGCCATCGACTGATTCGAGACGGAACTCCGTCTTTCGAGAATCTGACACCAGATGGCAGGTCACGCTTCAGCTCGGTAAGCCTCTGGATAAACTTTCCTCTGCTTCAACTCATACTTCAATCGCCTGTGTATTTTTAAGCGTGAAGCCAAAATCACCTTTCCACATGTGAAAGGCAAGAACATTTTTCTGTCGGTGGAGCTGAGGTAAAGGTTTGCAGTTTCGCCTGGACGAGGTTACAGTGTTTTTCACTTCAGTTAGACAATTTTTCACTTGACTAAGACACCGATGCGAGGGGTATTCAGAGAGGAGGCGAGGGCGCTGGTGCCCCTGGTTACTAGCGACATCTTTCTTTCCTTCGAATATTTAGGCTATTTCATATGAATCAAACTATGTACTGGAAACGATGAACCGCATGCATAGCCATGTTGTCAACGGGAGACCGTCCTTGCAATCTATTTAAATAAAAAGGCTCTAAGTTTTCAATTTCCCATCGGCTCAACGATGTAGAAACACTGGATCGGACTTTGATGGACAATCCCAGATCCACGTTAGATAGGCCTAATCTAGCCTACGTGAAGTCTGCGCGGGGAATGATACCCAGGAACGATGCCCAAAACTTCATCTGTTTTATTGAAATATTAGGAAAACAGTAATGGGTGACACGAAAGCCTAGTTTTTCACTACGACATTAAATTATCATTTCAATATATTGTGTATTAGGGAAGGTTCATATTGGTTTTCCTCTCTTCAGCAGGAAATTAATCATCATCGTTGTCGCCAATGTCATCACGACATCTGCACTTAAGTATGGAACTCCTAGTTTCTGCGTCGATCCGCTATATCACCATCACCATGCACCGTTGTCGAAGTCAAGTGAAAAAATGTCTAACTCAAGTGAAAAACACTGTACTAATATTAACCTGTATCGATATTTCCGTATTTAACTAATCGGGACCAATTGGTGATTGCCTTTGGATAATAAAAACATCTTGTCCTTCGCTTAATTACTATTAGCCTTGGATCTCATCGGTATGGGCCAACATTGACATTTTCAAAGGTTTCCAAAGGCTGTGGAAATCTTAACTTTTTCCTCGATCCTTGATTGAAGACCTGGTGACTGCCGCATGTTACGCCGGGCAAGAATCAACTTCCCGGCACTAGATTCCCAACCAGTAACTCTTTGCAATTGACCTCTCACAAGTGGCCTAGACCTAACGAACCTAAGGGATCGAGTTTTGATGTGTAAGACTTCCGCTTGAACTTCTCAAAATCAGTAACTCTTGTAATTTTGAAAATTGTCACGACTCCTGTGTGCAAAATTTAATTAGAGAGAAACCCCGTAGTCACAGGAAGATGTGCTTGGTGCTTAAATAAGGGTATATTTTGTCAAAAGGTTATGTTCTTACGTTCAAATTACTTTACACTGCAGCAATGCTTAATTTTAAAATTATGACCAACAAGAATTGTACAAGTAATTCATTCTCCCTATGAACCAGCGGTATTCGAACTCCGAGATTTTCATGTTTTTATGGGATCTACTTCGACGTACAAGGAATTGACTTTCCAGTTTCCTTTCCAGTTTCACTGAGTACAAAGGAGTGTAGATTCGACAGGTACGGACAGTTTTCGNCTCGGATCTCACCGTGTGTCTGGAGAGCCGAATTTCCCCGTCGAAACGAAAACAAAATGGCATTTCTCTGCTCCATTTCTCAACTTATGAAGCATTCTTTTCCTTTTAAAAGTACTCATCGGGAAACTGCCGCTACCTGCCTCTGTTTCTCCCACGACTGTTACATTTGCATATTAGCAACCAGCCTATGTTATACATCGTTGCGTTCCTCTTTGATGGGGCTTTCAGAATTTGTAGGAATTTTTCGCGTGCGCGCAATATGAAAATTTTTATTGCGGAACACGCATGACTTTTCATACAAGCCTCGTAGATATATTGGCAAACAACATGCTTCTGAAGATATTTGCCAATGTGACAAAATATCGTTTCGATCGAAAGCTAGACAAAGATCAATTTTTTGAGCAAATAACAACTGATGTTCAATCATATATATCACGAATTTCCTTTCAAACAAAAACACCTGCCTCTGCTTTTATTCCCTGGAGAACGAAGGCATTGCAAGCCCTTAAAGAAAATATCAACAACTGGCAGTTAGAATACAAAAGAGGCTCCTTAGATACATCTTATAGAAAATTCCAAGAGCTTCTGAAGGGAATTCCATTTTGTCGTAGTAACTGTGGATAAAGCTAGCAACAATTTTGCTTTCGTTTGTCAACGCATGCACGGCCAGCTTCTTAAGACAGAAATTTTGAACAGCCCAACATTTCAAGAACAGCATGTGGATTTTTATTCCGTTGTTAAGAAGATTCTAAGTGCCTGTCCAAGTTACAACATAAAAATTGATTCAAAATCCACAAAGATTCCCTTTTTATTTGCCAATCCAAAATCTCACAATGATTCCGTGAAATTCCGCTACATTACCAGCTCTGTCAATACCTGTGTAAGAAACCTCTCAATAAAGGTAAATGAGATCTTGAATCGCCTTATGGAAGAGGTAGAACGAATTTGTCAGGGAACACACGAGTCGTGGATCATAAAGAACAGCAAAGCTGTTCCGGATGCTATGAAAAACATCAATGCAGTGGGGAAAGCAAATATCATCCGATCATGGGATTTTACGACCCTGTACACCAAGATC